TCTATCTATCTATCTATCTATCTATCTATCTATCTATCTATCTATCTCTATCTCTCTCTCCATTTATCTCTCTCTTTCTCTATCTATCTCCTAGAGGTGGGGGAGATGAAAAATGGGCCTGTTTTTTGGCCTCCTGAGGCATCTGTGCATCCATTCTTCACCTCCCCTGTCCCCAGAAGCATTCTTCAGGCAAAAAATGGGCAAAAAAGGTCTGTTTTGGGGGCAAAATAGGCAATTTTTACCCAGTTTTTGGCCTCCTGGGGCCAAAGGGTGGGTTGGCCAATGTGGGTGGAGCAGCCTCGTGGTCCTGTGTGCGCTGGATTAATGGCTTTATGGGCCACATGTAGCCCCTGGCCGTAGTTTAAGGAGCCGTGTTACAGTATAGAAGCAAATAAATCGTTTAGTATTTGGCATGAGACTCAGGTACAATCTTATATGTATCTTGTGACTGGCTGACCCAATGTAACATTTTATGATTTATCTGAGGTGTGTTGCAGCAGTCAGTTTGCAATTATCGTGCATTTTTCCCCCAGAAAACTTCACCAAGAGGCAATGTCCTTCTAAGTAGAGGTTTGACTTTTATAACCATTTTGTTACTTCCTGTAGATCCTTATGCTAGTTATTTGTGAAAGTGCCTATGGTAATTTTGTTCCCTTTCCAGAGATGTCTAGATGCTTAAATTCATTGCAGTTACGTACTGAAATACCTATCTGATGGCAGTGTAGTTCACAGAGACAGATTTCTTAGTTATATATTTTTAGAGAAAAATGCTGCTTCTCTCAATATGAAAATTATTTATGACATGAGAAGCCTAGGAAAACTTTTTTGTATATTCACAGTATTAACAAATGAACAAATAATTTACATAGAGATGCTATTTTCAGTCTTCTTATTTCACACAGTATACAGTCCTTCAAAGATGGTTATGCAATAATTCAATATTTGAGAATAAATTGTATGACTGACCTTGGCTTTTTGAGTGAGAATTAGATTTTATTTCCAAAATGACAGGCAACATCTGCTCAGTCTCCATGTTTTTCAAATCATAGGAACTTTCTGTAGCTGAGATTTCCTTGGATGAAGCACTGAGACGAAGGGCATCTTGTGTTTTCCTTTTTTCTTTCTTTAACATATTTACTAAAATATCTAATATTTATATTAAGGAAAGATTTAAAATACTTTGTAATGATAATTAGCACAAGTATGTTTATGTAAAAAGACTGTAAATTACACAGAACAGGAATAATTATTTTGTATGTTTTATTATATTTATTGATTGATTCCCTATTCTTCTGTCCTCGTGTCATTAGCTTATAGTATCACAATGTACTTATTCTTAAAGTTGGTTATGGCTAAGAAAACCAGTGCATCTGCTCTAACCACATTCCAAATATAAACAGTACAGTATGTATAAAGTCAAGATATGTGCAGCTTTGGGTTGCTTTTGTATAGGATTTTGTATAATACAAAAATCTCTTATTTTATAATAAAATTATAATAAATACTATCTAATATTTGAAAAGTGTCAAACCATACATTTGCTTCTATTATTAGCTCATTGTAAATGGAACAAGGAAAACAAATAAAAATATGAAATGCTTGGGCAAACTGAAAGCAAAAAGTGAAGGCATTTTAAAATAAAATTTTAAAATATTTGATTCTCAACTCCTCTTTTATGGATAAATATGAAATTGAATGTTTGGTTTGGGATTTTTCCCACACTTTTCTTTGTGAATTCTTCTGGTTATCTTTACACCGAGTCCATGTTTAAGATTTTCCCAAGATTTTCAATAATATTCAACTATTGGGGCTGTTAAGGCCATTCCAAAACTTTTCTTTCCTTTAACTATTTCATGATTGACTTGGAGATATTTTTCAGATCCTTGACTTACTGAAATATCCAATCATTTTCAGCTTCAATATCCTTACTGATTATGGGATACTGTCTTCTAGTATATATAGTATAAATTTATATTTAGTTGACATTCAGTTGCTATTCTTCCTCATACTTGCACAGTATATTTTGTGCCACTGATTGTGACACAATAATAAAGCATACCGAGCCAATAGAGTCATCTCTATGTTTAATATTTTGTCATAATGGTCTTTTCTTCAAATGTTTCACATTATTTTTCTTGAATGTATATTTTGTGGCTGTGGCTGAGCTATTCAATTTTCATTTCATCAGTCTAAAGCACTTTGTTTCAAATATTTCAGGCTTATCAAACATTTTGGACCAATTACTTTTTGTGGTTAAGTTTCAAGAAAAGGTTTTCTTCAAAGAATACTTCTCCCATACAAATTTATTGTTTTATCAGAAATATTGTACTGTAGATGTCTGCTGTTTTGTGAATATGACCAGTTTTAACAGTTCCAGTTGATACATTTGTCTTCCAGATCTTGTCTTGACTTCAAGAGTTCCATCCAACTTCCATTTCTTAATAATATTTCTCTCTACTGCAATTTCTAGTTGGGAGTGTTTATAAGCATTTTTTCTACTTTCACCTGCTTGTATGAGTAAAGTATTTTAATTTTCAAATGGCTAGGCAGGTGAGTACAGGAAGAACCTATAGTTGTTGAAAACACTCAGAACAAATTACAAAAGAGGTTAGCTCAGAACATTTGCCATGGAATTGCCTTTACCTAATCGTAATCTTAATGAGTAAATTACTCCTTTCAGTCTTATTAACAGCTTTAATAAGTTTATGTTAACAAAAAAATATGAGCTAATTCTACTTATTGTAATGCTATGTGCCTACATTGATGGCTGATTTGTCTGAATGCCAAGTTTCTAGGAATTATCTAGCATTTTTAGACTTAGCTTGGCCTAGGATGCCCAGTTTCTCAATTGAAACTATGGACATGTTTGTCCATATGTGATGCAATTAAGGAGTCTTCTGTCTGCTGGTTGGTGTCCAAATAACTAAATAAAACAAGTAAAAAACCTCCAATGTACCTTTTTTACTTCCTGATAAGTTAGGACAGATCCTTTCTAAAGTTCTTTTTCTGCTCATTCAGCTGTGGGCTTCTCCTCCTTTTATCTGATTATTCCCCAGGTGTCATTTTTACTCCATCTTCCAAGGTAATTCCCACATTTTATTACACAACCGAAAAAGTGTCAACTCTGTACACTATTGACTTGTGCATTGAAAATCAGTAAATAGTATATAAATAATAAATAAATACTTAAATGTTTAGAAATGTTATATTTAGCAATAGCACTTAGCACTTAGACTTATATACACAGTGCTTTATAGCCCACTCTAAGCAGTTCCCAGAGTCAACATATTGCCCCCAAAAATCTGGATCCTCCTTTTACCGACCTTGGATGGATGGAAAGCTGAGTAAACCTTGAGGCAGTGAGATTTGAACTGCCAAACTTGCTAGCAATTGGTAGTCAGCAGGAGTAGCATGCAATACTGCATTCTAACCACTGAGCCACCACAGCTCTTTAATACACGAATATGGAGTTTTGTCAAGATACAAAATAATTAGACCTGGAAGCTCACTAGTATTTGAATGTCCTGTTTAACTTTGTACCATGTTGAGATTGTGTCAACTAAAATATACAGTTAGATCAGAAGTACAAATTATAGTTGTTATACCCAAACTTCAAATAGAATATTAAGAATGTATTTATGTTGCTTCCTTGACTGAGTCTGACCAGTTTACAATTCAAAATAGTGAAAACATCAATAAAACCAATTAATCATCATAGCACTCTATGCTGGCTAACCCAACACAACCAAGCCCTCTCCCCAAAAGAAGTTGGCTGCTTTCCAAAATGGTTCTAACTGCATTCCTAAGTTTTAACAGGGCATGGGTCATCCTGACCTCAAAGAGCAAGCTGTTCCAGACTGAGCAGATGGTAACTGAAAATAGATGTATTCAGCTTGATTATATTCACTTAACAATATTGAAACCTTTCCATGTTATTATTAAATCAAAACTATCATACATTGAATTTTAAAGCATTTTGCAATGAAGTATACTCCTCCTGTAGCTCCCCCCCACATCTGTTTTTGAGGATTGTTGAACATTTTGGAAGAGACCTGAGGTCATGAGGTAAAGAACAGAATGAAATATTGCCATATTCCTTACAGAAATAGATATGTCATAGGAGTAGCAACTAGATTTTTATCCAATAAAGATTTCAGAAAGGATACTGATTTCATTATCTCGTTGCTGCAAAAGATCCTTTAGTTTCTTTAACTCTTCATTGCCAATTACACTACCCGCACTTTTATCTTCCTGAACATCTGGTAATTGATTGCCAGGAAGTTTTGCATCATTTACCAGTCTCTGTTGAATCAAAAACAATATGGTTATTTTAATTTGTAATTCATTCCTTCATTTTCTGTAAGGAGGAAATTTGACAAACTTGTAGTCCTGTAATGTCAAGCTACTGTAAAGATTTCCCTTATGGATCATCTAGTTTTAATAGCTTCCTCTCTTTTAAACAAATCATAATAATTTTCATGTACCGTCTCTCCTTTGGCCAACTATGCAGACATCCTTCCTAAGATTCTGACTCTCTTTCCTCTCAAAGTTCCTCTTTCTTAAACTTAAAATTGTTCCTCTACTTGTTTTCCTGTATGTAAGATATACTGTTTTTTTAACAACTATGTCATTTGGCCTCAACAGTACCTTTAACATTTGCAAATATGCAAATTAACTTCCAGTTAATTACTTAATTTTTAAAACGTGTATCTGTATTAAAAGGTTTATTGAAAAACATACTGTATGCTTATAAATGGTAAGGGGCAATGCTGATGTGATGGTTCATAATCAAATAACAGCACACAAAAACCCTAAAGCAGACTGCAACCACAAATTGTAGAATATAATTCTACAATTATATTCTTTAAATTCTGTTTAGTGTGTGGCATGTAAATCCGAACAAATTAATTAAACTCCCTATGAAATCTCCCCACCCAACTGCCTTTTTCTATTTGGTCCGAGGGGGGGAGGTGATAATTGAATTATTATAATTATTTGAATAGTTTTATAATAAAATTGAATAATTGAATAGTTATAAAACAATGTCAAAGAATATAAAGGATAACTGTTTTGTTTTGTTTTTATTTGTCTTGTATGCCACCCACTCCCGAAGGACTCCGGGCGGCTCACAATAGACAAGGGAAGGGGGAAGACTAAGTCCAAAATCAAATTCATGTTCAACTTCAAGTAGACATTTCTTTGCTAAGATAAATATTGTTT